CTTTATTTTTAAGAATTAACCAAATAAAAACATACAGCTATGCTCCTCTTCAGTTTCAGAGTTTGAGTCTAAGCCATCCTTACATCTAGAGTTTTTAAAATATTGCTAAAGTCACGTCAAAGTTTTTAAAATACTTGGACCACAAAAGTTTTCTATAACTTTTGTCTTTTTCTGGTGCTTTAAATTGACCTTCTTTCTTCTTGTTGATCACAAAATTCATAGGCCTTCACCACATCAATTTACGTGTCCTCGTTGTACTCCCAGGCTCTGAACAGAACACCACCAGGCAATGTTGACAACTAGCTACTCTGAGACTTGCCCCAAGGAGCCTTTTGACTTTCCAAACGAAATCCTCTTTGGTCTGTTGCAGAACCATGGAACCGATATCAGCTCATGGCCATCCTGGGTGAATTCCACTCCTGCATCCTATATTATAGGTTCAGTTTCAGCTTTGCTAGGGCATAATCTACAGTTGTTGTTTTTTAGAAAAGGCACATGTGTTCTAAACCTTCTGAGATGTTGTTTGTCTAATAGTGTCTCTGGTAGGAAGTGTCACCCTTTGTTTTCTCACTCAGCACCCAGTCATGGCTGGCCCACTGCTCCCACTGTCCCTCTCTTTGTGGGATTTGCTTAGATGGTAAACACACTTTGAGATGTCTTCTCAGCCCTTCAGCCAACAGCTCTGCCCACTCCCATCCCAGGCAAGACCCTTTCATCGCCAGGTAGGTTGGTTTATGCTGTGAGATCCCGTATCACCGATCAGACCAAGGGAGACAACCCCACCCACTCCGAAACAGTCTGCTTTCCTCTTGGATATTTGCTATTGGAATTGGGAGTAACGTCTATCTCTCCAATTCCTGAGGCGTGTAAAGCTTCGAAGCTATGGGGAAGCTATAGTCTGTCCTAAATAAACCAACAGAAAACTCCAGTCTGCTGAACGAGAGAGAGAATAATGAAGCAAACCCCAAAGTGAGGGGAGAAAGATGTCAAAAGACAGTTCTGGAAGCTATTTTAGAGTGCAATTTTGGATTCAAATCTGAAAAGGTAAAATCTGGGAGGAGATATAATAAAAACCTATTGAATTCTGAAGAAGGTGAAGAGATTCAACATCACTTTGCTTATCACATTTTATAATATAATTACTTGCTTGCCAACGTAAGACTGGAAAGAATTTTACTTTGTGGTTAAAAAAAATTTTTTTTAATAAAGCTAACTGGCATCTAGAAAAACAAGGAATACTAGTTTAGTCCCTACAATGAAAAATAAGAAGAAGGAACTCATTATCCTACAACCAGTTCAAACACAAAATTTCAGCAAACTTTTATTGGACACCTACTATATGCCCAGCCATCTGCTCAGCACTGGGGACACAAAAGTAAAAGGGACATGGCTCCTGCCTTTGAAGCTCATGGTCTCCAAGGGGGTCCAGGAGGCCAATAGCCGAGTGCATGGGGAAGGCAACGGCCAGATCACGATGGACCAAAAGTGGCAGCAGGGGATTCCCAGGAGGTGGCTCCACCATTTAGGCAAGAAGTGAGGAAGAACTGTTGTACTCAGAGTAGCAACACCCCTAAGGAAGAGGGCCCAGAGAGTAGGCAGATTCTGTAGGAGGTGGATTGAATGTGGGGGTGAGAGCAGTGGACAGTGTGGCTCCCATGAATCTGGTTTGGGTGCCTCAATAGTTTCAAGAATAGGGAAAACAAACAGACCTAGGGGTTGGGGTGAGCTAACTTTGGTTAAGGAAGATGGGATTTATGACATGGTAGGACTGCCATGGAAGATCACAGGGTAAGAGCAAGCAGAATGCAGAGAGCAAGGGCAAAAGACAGAGCCTGGGGAAATGACCCTCAGAGGCTAAGGAGACTGAGGGACAACACGAGAGGCAGGGTGGGGACCAGGAGACTGCAAAAAGCAGAAGCCGCAGGAGGGGAAAGAGGAAAGGAAGGAGGGTCCTGGCACCCAATGCCTTCAAGAGGTCGGGTCCCATGCTTCGCATTGCCCATGGAGTACGGTCTACACGGATGCCTGCTGTCCCATTGTCATTATTCATAATGTTGCATCCCTCTCATAAATCACGTGATCACCCGAGGTAGGATCAGGACTGAAACGTATATCATGAATGTGGCGCGATGAAGGCCACCATGAGACTGACTTCAGGTGGAATGGAAACCCGATTGCAGAGGGAGTGAACATTGGAGCAATGATTAGGGACGCTACTTCCAAGAAGCTGGCCATGAGGGGGCAGAGGTGGAACTGTGGCTAGAAAGGCCCAGCGTGCAGAGGGAAGGCTCTCTACCACCTGGGCTGGACAGACCTGGGCAAGTTGACCAGCTGATGGCAAAAGCCAGTCACGAAGAGGATGGTAAAGACTGGGCACAATGGCCGCATTGTGTCATCTCAGAACAGAAGTAGCTAAGGTGGTGGGGGCAGGGATTAGGAGCACAATGTGGGGACTGGCCCTGGGCAGGAGTAGAGCCTCTATTTCACTCAGATGATGTTATAAGTGGAATGTTTGTGTCTCCCCAAAATTCGTATATTGAAGTTCTAACACCGAGTATGGCTGTATTCAGAGATGGGACCTATAAGGAGGTAATTAAGGTTAAATGAGGTCATATGAATGGGCCCCTGATTTGATGGGATTTGTGTCCTAAGAGACAGCAGAGAGCTCATTCTCTATCTCTCTGTCTGCAGCTGCTCAAAGGAAAGGCCATGTGAGCACAAAGCAGCAATCTGCAAGCCGGGAATCAGGCTCTCCCCAGGATCCCACCATGCTGCCCCTGGATCTCAGACGCCCAGTGTCCAGAACTGTGAGAAGTAAGTGTCTGTCCCAGGCCCCTAGTCTGTGGTGTGTGTGATGGCAGCCCAAGCTGACTGAGAAAGCTACGAAGGAAGAGACAGGGGGCATAATTTAGACGCGCCTATAAGATATTGGTCAGAGGAAGTTCATCCAAAAAGTCTAGAGTCCAGTGGTCAGCAAACTGCGGCTCGTGAGCCACATGGCTCTTTGGCCCCTTGAGTGTGGCTCTTCCACAAAGAGTTTGCTGACCACTGGTCTAGACCAAGCATGTCAAACTCGTGGCCCATTGCCACATGCGGCCCACAACGAATATTTTTGCGGCTCAGCCAATATTACAAAACGTATGTAAGAAACATTTTAATAAAAATTTCAT